GACTACTGTACTGCAGACTACTAGTAGCTAAGTCCTTCCGATACTGGCAGCAACAAAGAACCCGTGGTGGTGAGTGTTGGCTGATACCGGTTTGGTCTTGGACCACACCCGAAATAAACGACCCATGCGCCAACATCGATTGCGACATTGCGACCTCATCATCAAGAGACTAGACTACCGTAAGGCTACGAAACAGTATAACTAGTCTGGCTAGACAGCTGTTCTGAACTATGCACTTTTAGGACCCCACGCAAACATGTGATTGATTTGCGTCACGAATCGAATAACACGGGAAAGTAAAGGGTCGTTACACTGTGTTCTGCGCCACGTTCCACTACCGGTACTGTAAGGGCGTGATGGAAGTCCGGAGGAGCACAGCAAAGCTGGATAGGGGATTGCGAGATTGGGAGCACTGGATCCGGAGGAACTTCAAAACTGGAGCACAACAACCAAAAGTTGCCTCCGACATTCAAGACCACGAACGGATTTCTTTTGGCCGAGCTGCCAATGATTCAGCCACCGGTCACGGCTTTACACTTCCAATAGTGCGCACTGTATACCAACAGAGAGATCTGGTCTGTGGCGAGTGTTGGTGGTACCAGTATACCGTATGGTCTTGGGCTACACACGAAATAAATGAAGAAGAAATCCACACAAAATCGAAAAACACAACAACTTTTTAGGGGCAATCATGGTCACCATCCGAATGCACTTGTCGAGAATAGGGTCGGCGCCTAGTAGTGAGGGCGACATGATGATCCAGCAGAAGAAGAAAAGCATCCGTAATAGCACTCAACTTTGCCGATCAAGTCTCGTAGAGTTGCAGCGTGCGTGGGAAAGGCAACGACGGCTGAACCTGGATTACTTGGACTATAAACACCATTTCTATGATTATAATGCAGCACATCGTCAGTCTCAGAGGCCACAACTAGTACAGAAACAGCACAGCAGAATCATCAACGTGGAGAACGAGTACAGATTTTGGACTTCCAAGCAATCCGTGATCATTTTGGCTTCTCTTGTGTTGGCAGTTGGAATCCACATGGTCTTTTTCTACACGGCACTGATGCTGTTCCTGTATGAGACAGGTCAAGTCATGACCCGTTGGCAAACGTTTTGGAAGAATCATTACGTTATTCAAGAGTTCCGAGACTTTATTCTCAGCTGGTGGCACTTCATCCGGCAGCAAATCATGCTGTTTCTGGACACGAACAATTATTCCCGAAAGGCTGCCGTTGGATGTTGGCTCTTTTACTATCCGCTCACCTACCGAATTGTATCGCACCATTTGAAGCGACGAAAGCAGCAAATGCTCCAACTTGCCAAAGCCGAAGCCAATCGATGGAACCAACACACGACGGAAGCCATTCAACAGGCCCGAACCATTGTGAGGCGTTCTTCCCTTGTCGTTCGGCAGGGCCTGAAGCGTCATCGGCGGCGGCTACAACAACGGCAATGCCTTTGTCAATACTACCACCAAAGACGACAACGACAATCTGTGGTGTGGCAGCTGGAACATCATAAAAATTAATGTAGCAGAGTGTCGAAAAGAGCCAGATGGCAATGCACAAACTAACTAAAATGGTCCCCCAATACGAGGATTGAGTTTCGACAAGAATCGCTGGAAAAAACAGACGCAACCAGCATTGTTTTGAGTGCTCCGATTTGATTGATTCGACTCATTCCATGAGAATAGATAGAAACGAAGTGAAGAAGGTTTTGTAAAAGAATAAACATGAACTTGGCATCACTCATGCTACCGGTACCAGGTAGCTACGGTACCTACGGTTGCATGTTAACATTTCGTAACCTCGCTTTGTACCAGGTACTTTTAAACTGCTGAAGGTTCTTCCTCTCTACTACCGGTAGCTAGGTAGAATGCATACCCGTGGGGTAGATAAATGACGTCAATAGAACCAGGACTGAGGTTTCGGGTGTCTGTGAAGTGCCAAGAGGAAAGAACTTCGACACTTCGGCTGGTAACGGCCAGATTTGTTGAAAAAGTGAGGACCGTACAACCACCGAGAAGACAACCAGGCATGCGTGCATGCTCTCTAAATCGTCCCTTGCTCCAGCCAGCCATTCATTTTCATTCGACTCGTGACTCGTCAATCGCCCACTGCCTCCATCCAATCTCCAATCCTCGGCTGCATGCTGTGATGGCGCCACGCGCCACGCATAAGGAATAAGGAAAGGTCCAAGAGATTTATTTGCCAACTTTCTGTTGGGATGCCATGAAGATCGATGTACGAGGACGTCTCTTGCTATGGGGTGGTTGCTTGGCGGTGAAGAAAAAGGTTAGGAAGACCTCGGTTTTATGCAGGCTGATATTGCCGAAATCGTTATGGCTACGGCGAGAAGATCCAAACGAGCTGATGATGTTCCCGTGCACGCCTCCCACACTGGCTGCTGGAAATGATGAGATGAACCAGCCATTCCAGGATGACTCGAGTCGAGTCGAGTCGGTCCAGCTACGGTAGCTGGTCGAAGTAAGCGAAGATTTGGAACGTAAGAAAGAGCCTTGAGTAGGAAATTGAATCGAATCTGAAACGAGACACAAGGCAAGTCAAACGACGTGCAAGGCAGGGCTCAGAAACTCCAGAGCTGTGCCCACCAACCTTTCCAAGAGAGAAATTCTCACAATCCGCTGCCGCTGCTTCCCAAAGACGCAACCCCCCACAGCAGAAACCACGATGCTAGTAGTAGCCGGAAGAAAAGTAGAAGAAGCAGAGAAGAGCGTCTATCCAAATGAAATACATGACGACAATTCCGATTCACCATTGATCCAGGACCCCCACCAGTACACTTTTGTAGGAGCTCCTCTTTGGATGCAATTTTCACCGCCTACGGTACTTATGGAAGAAGCTGAGATATCAGCCACTATAGTGTTTACGATGTGATTGATTGGTGAAACAAAGCTCGACAATGGTGCCAAAGAGTCAAAACATGATGATCTCCTGATTGAGGCGTCCTTGGTGACCACCAATAGATATCAAGACGAAGGCGTGGTCCTGGTGGAAGCAAACCAAGGTGCAGTAGCAGGTTATCTATTTGCAAAACAGACAGACAGCAACCATGAGCTCTCTATTGTTGGCTTGATTTGGTTCTATTCATTCATTCTATCGTCACTATATATTTGTCACGGTACCGTATTGTCGTGGCCACAAGAACCAAATTTTAAGCATTCTCCAGAAACTACAGTTGGACTTGGGCATAAATCAACTCCCTTCTTTGATACGGACAAGTCCAATACCCAAGCCAGCAGATGCAGCGTCTGCGCGTCTGCTACTGTCCCTACCATGGCAACAACTAACTGATCCATTTAGTTTTACTTGGTATGAACCAATAGCCGGAAACACTCTACTAGCTAAATTCCCTAGCTAGCTAGTAGGGAATACTCTCGTGCCAGCAGATATTATGCTGCGACTCGACTCGCCCAGAACCACACCAACCGCGACTCCCGCTTTGGACAGACATTCCAGCCATAGTGTGGTCCTGCAGTTTTGAACAATTGAGTATCTCATTCCTTTGGCTGCATGGCTGCTTTGAAGACGTCACAATGCTCGATGTCATTCGATTTGGACAGTGCAGGATGCAGCAAGAGATCGCAACAATATAATGATAGAAAGAAGTCTACGGTGCAGTACTCGCTTTGTTGCAGATGCTTCTCGGGCGTAAAGAGTCAGCGAGCACTGCTGCATTGGAACGTTGAGGAAATAACACCATCAGGGTGGTACTCTATTTTGTGTATACAAGTAAATTGATCGCCCCCGATGGCCAAGACGCCACCGGTAGCGCCAGGGCCTTCCGTGACCATTTTATTGGAACAATGCGGCTCGGGACAACAATGGGGCTTTGATATGCATTGTATCGCCGCGTTACGGACAACAACAAGCATCCAGCAGGCGATTTCGGTGGATGTTGGTCCTCGCCGGCTTTCTGATCCCTGAAAGGGTGTCTCCTGTGGAGACGGAACGTAAGAATGAGCACTTGAAGTCAAGATGAGCTTGCCATTCAAAAGAGTGAAGGATGCTTGCGCAGTGCTGTGGTGTGGCAAGCAAACACTGTCATACCGACGAACTGTCCATGTGGGCAATTGCTGCTCAGGTTGCTTGCCCACCTGGATCCAAGCAAACGTCGCCCTTGGACTGGAGCAACTTTGTGACAGATGCCTTCATTTTGGGAACATGTTCCTCTTTCGACTGTGATGGCCGGTGCAATGGTGGAGTGTCTCTTGTTCCATCTGTGGCTCCGACTACATGTATACACTGCGTCCACATCAGCGCCAAGCTCATTAGATACACCATTTCCCACAAGGGCTCCGATCCCAGTTTTGCCATGGCTACATCATTGACACTGAGAGTAGCTTTAGTCTAGCTAGCTAGCTTCAGCTGGAAGAGAAGGAGACAAGAGTATGTGTTGATTGATGATTCTATAATATATAATATGTATGAGTACATAACAGACAGGGTCTTATGTGGTCATCCGGCGGAAGGACTCCTACTCCTGTCACCCATTCATCTGCTGCACAAAGCAGGCAGGATCTTCTGCGGTCATCCGGTTGGATTCCCACTCCTGTCACCATTCATGTCATCCGCTGCATACCCAACAGGATCTTCTGCGGTCATCCGATTGGATTCCCACTCCTGTCACCATTCATGTCATCCGCTGCATACCCAACAGGATCTTCTGCGGTCATCCGGTTGGATTCCCACTCCTGTCACCGTTCATGTCATCCGCTGCATACCCAACAGGATCTTCTGCGGTCATCCGGTTGGATTCCCACTCCTGTCACCATTCATGTCATCTGCTGCATACCCAACAGGATCTTCCGCGGTCATCCGGTTGGATTCCCACTCCTGTCACCATTCATGTCATCTGCTGTATACCCAACAGGATCTTCTGTGGTCATCCGGTTGGATTCCCACTCCTGTCACCATTCATGTCGTTGGCTGATCAAAGGATGGGTTGCTTGGCAGCTCAAGATATCATTGGCAGCACTACACCTTGGGCTTCAAAAGCATGCACATGCCCGATTGCTGATTGCATACCACACTACCAGACGAGTAGTAGGGAGCTCCCACGACCATGGTGGCCAGCAAAGGGACTCGGAGGAATCGAAACCAACGTCTTGCAGACCAGGCAGAGTTCCCGTCCATGGAGTTCTCATGGAGTGCAGCCATTGCATCAGCGGGGACAGAGATCTCGGCAGGGACGGAGAGCTTGGATTCGGTAGTGCTGCCGTCTTCGATATCCAACACTGATTCTGATGCGTCCGAGCTTGATTCATCCTCAACAGGGTTCTGACCGACAAGATCGTTTGCTTCATCCTCAACAGGGTTCTGGCCGACAAGAGCGTTTGCTTCATTCTCAACAGGGTTCTGGTTTTCCTGGTTCAAGGGCGGAAGAAGAGCGGCATTCCAAAAATCTCTTTGGTCGGTACTATCATCATCTTGCATTGGGGGGTTGAAATATTCAACAACAGGCTCCTCCTCCAAAGCGGCGGCGGAAGAGGCGAAGATAAACTTGAATCTGGAGGAAGTGGAAGGGTCATGCATGGTCTTGCGGCGTTTTGCAGGGGGTGCCGTGGAAACTGGGGCAGATAGCTTGCTGGGGTCGAAATATTCAACAACAGGCTCCTCCTCCACAGCGGCGGCGGAAGAGGCGAAGATAAACTTGAATCTTGAGGAAGTGGAAGGGTCATGCATGGTTTTGCGGCGTTTTGCAGGGGGTTCCGTTGGAACTGGGGCAGATGCAGGTCGGATGCAAGGAGTGAACCGATGGGCGGCAGAAGGCTTGAAGCACTTGTTTGGAGTGTTGGAGGGAACGAGATGGTCAGCAGAGCGCTTGCTTCCAGAGTCAGAGCTTGTAGAGGACATGGCTTGGTTGGTTTCGTTGACGATGAAATAAGTACTGGGTGGAATTGAACTCATTCGAGACTGATTGATTTTGCTTGTGAGCTTTGAACTGAGAATGATAGGCTCGAAATGAAGGAGCATCTATCATCTCACGATCTCACCGTGGCGTGTTTCCGTCGTGGAAGATCGGATTTTGTTCGTGTTGCGGTTCGCTGTGATTGATCGGGATGGTCATCACGTACCACATCCAGGTAGACGTATACGGCGGGTGATCGTGTTCATGTAAGAGTCTATCATGGTGTTTCGGTTGTCAGTCTCTTTCCAACACGCTTGTCCTCTGCCCGCTTGACGGCCATGGACTACCGTATACGTCCACGCAAACTACTACCAGTAGCTATTACTCAGAGTATTACGTACTGGCGAAGTAGATACGACGAGGATTGAATGAAGTGGTTATGAACTAAGGAAGCTACTGAGAAGAGATGACAGACGGTTTTCACGTTTTCGCTCTGATGAATGATCAACGACGGACTTCCGCGCATCCCGAATGGTCCGCATCACGCGTTACCGTAGATGTAAAAGTGGTACCTGGTACCGGTACCAGTACAATGGCTTCCGCCAAACTCCTTTGGAAGCCGGGCCGAATTTTCAAAGCATCATTCTCTTCTATTCTCATCAGCATCATTACTACTAGTACCGGAACACTCGGTTGGATCCTTTCCTTCGTCTGTGAAGGCCATGTTGTGGCTTTGTGGGAGCCTTCTGGCCACCCTCGAACAACTGGCCAAGTGTATTCATTATGTTTCGTTGAAAAATATTTGAGATGGCGCCTATGATCAGCTTCTTGCTCTGTCTTGTGGCCATGTCGCGTGCTTTTCCTGCCCAAACCATCAGCAAGCTCCATGGAGCTCTTCCAACTGCCTGGCATGGCAGAACTACGCCTTTTATCGGAACAACCGCGGTCGCTGCTGCAACGAGCAGCACTCTTGTAGCCGTGGAGGACAACCGGAGCATTGGCGTAATCAATGATCGCATCAAAGAGATGCTGCAGCACTTGGAAGAAAAGACTCAGAGTGATCTGAATCACGATGAACTGCTTCGAGCCTGTCATGCGCTGATATTGGCCATTACAACCAAACCCGAGTTTCAAAACCACAAATTACTACACGTGGAACAAGCTATCTTTCAGCAGCAGGGAGAGGGTAGTAATCAGAAGATCTCAAGACCTACAACAGCAGACTTGGAGGAATTGCTACCCTGGCTGGAATTGGCATATTTTGCCCACGAGTACAATGACGCTGGATCAAAGTCACAATTGGAGGCGGCAATACAGGAATCGACGGGGAAGGAGTGATTCTTCATTCAACCAAAATCAAGCCGGGAGAAGTAGGACACTATGTAGCTGTCCATGACAGCTCGCAATCAATGCTCATTGGAATCAAGGGAACTAGTTCAGCATCGGTGAGTTATCTGATTTGTGGTGTTCTGCGGCATTCTGGCCTACGGTGGTGCATTGTGCATTTGAACCGAACCGTATCTATCTCATTCCAAATCATCAATCTCTTGCTGTTGTTTATTAGGATTTGATAACAGACTCTCTTGCTGCCACAATCTCACACAAATGTGTGCCACACTCACCCTTTGACGCATGCCAACAACCAACAAGAAGAGAGCTTTGGAGCCCACGAGGGTGTACTAGCGTCCAGCATCAAATTGTGTCAAGAGCTCCAAGACATGTTCTGTGATGACGACATTCTGCAAAACTACTACATTCGCATTACAGGACACAGTCTAGTAGGGGCAGGGGCAGCCAGCGTTTTGGCATTGTTGCTCCGGGCACAATACAAGGAATTGCATGAACCAGGACGTCTTCATGCTTTGCATCATCCCTCTGCTGTGAAATCCAAAGACTTTATCACTTCTGTGGCCAACCGGAATGACTGCGTTCCGAGATTGTATGTTTCCAATTTCGAGATCATGGTCAACATGTTGGAAGGATTGAACGAAAAGATTATGACACAAGAAGGACTGGACAGCTTTTGGAGCATTGCCAAAGAAAGCGTTGTGGGGGACGTGATGGAGCAATTATTGACAGATGATCAATTTGATGCATTGATAAACATTATGGAAGAAGCCCAGGGAGCAGTAGAGATTGAAGCCGGGGAGTATCTCTGCGTCCCAGGCAAAATCATTGCCCTTTATGGGACCATCAAAGATCTGCCAGCCAAGGGCGAAGAACCGGATGTCACTGTACAATCTGTCTTTTTTGGA